TAATTCATCCCTAACATTCATAGTTGACAACTTATTGTCTCTGAAGAAATAGTACAAGAGACCACTCGTAGTCCTTGAATAAAACTTTTTGGGGACGATTTTTAGACTCTAATTTGATAACTATAGGAACAATATGTCAACCCTATAAAAACAAAAGGGGACGATATATTATCCTCATATAGATCCAACGAAATCATAAAATCAATTATTTGGGACAACAATTTGTCTCTAGAAATGATGTTTAGGGGACGACTTATTGTAGTTAAAGTTATAGCTATGAGGACGACATGTTGTCTTTAATGGACAAGAAATGAGACGGCTGCTTTCGAATATTGGGGACGATTGTCGTCCCTAGTTATGGGGACGACCTAGATTTTTGTCGTCCCCAAAAAAATAGAGGACAAGAGTATAGGGAACCACATTTTGGGAACGACTAAGTCGTCCCCAAAAACTATATGGACGATTTTTCCTATTTCCGGGGACAACTTTTGTCGTCTCCAAACCTCCTCTTTTTTGTAGTGAAAGTTTGGACTCTAGGTTGATGTCCATTTCTTCATTCTCTACTATGCATGTCCTATACTTCTTCACAGCTTTTCGTTGAACACTACTATATATGTTTCTATGTGCTAACGATGCACTCAAGTTCCTGGCCACTCCAAATTATCGATTAAACCTACACTGACTTCATTTTTCCGGTAAACTACAGAACTTAAGTTATTAATTAATTTATTAATAGCGCAAGTTAGCTCTTAATTGGTTTTCTGTTCCTTACGAAATTTTAGCCATCTCTAATTTTAGTAAGTAATCATGGATTCCGGAATACTGTTCGCCTGTGTATATGTTGAGCTGTGGCATCTAGGGGTGTTCAAACAGATTGGTTACTGTGGTAACCATATTAACCAGTAGCATTCGGTTAATTTGGCTAATTGGTTTGGTTTGGTTAAACAATTTAGCTTATTTCGTTTGTTTTCAACGCTGCTAACCAGTGAAACCGATTAACCAATTAATGATACACCTAATATACAAAATTATTTATACTTCCAGCAACTAACCAAACCAAACTTTGGTGATTCCCTCATTTATTTCCATGTGCACAACAAACCAAAACATTATGGGTAAAAAATTAAATGGGCCTGTCTATTTACTAAACCAAACATTTTGGACAACTACTAGACTTTAGGATTAACTTTGGACTCTAGGTTGATGTCCACTTTTTCATTCTCTATTATACATGTCCTATACTTCTTCACACATTTTCGTTGAACACTATATATGTTTCTATGTGTACGCTCTCCTCGACTCTGCGTCGGTTTTGTGTTACGACAACTAAAGATTACACAAGTCAAACGTATCCCGCAGCAGAGCGCGGGCGGATTACTAGTAAAATGCATTATATAAGTTTTAGTAATGATTAATACAATAGACAAAGCATATGGTTATGGATATTGGATAGATAGTCATTCCTTATATCACTACAAAAAAGACAGACAGTTGTGACGAAAACCTACCGACGACACTATTTTTTTTTTGTGAGAAATAAGAATTATTTTCAACGAAATGGACATTTTGTTGGAAGAAAAATTGTTATTTCTCACAATAAATTGTTTGCGTCATAAATTATTAGAAAACCCGTTGGAAATAATAATTTAGACTTTTTTGACCAATTCTCGTTTGGACACACGGACAGAAACTGTACCATTCATCTCTCTTCTTTCCTCTCTCTGATCTAGGTTTTCATCAATTTGATGGCGGCCCCTGCTGACGGTGCCCCATCGGGAGCCGTCGGTGGCGGTAGCCCTTGGGTCTCACTGTTTGGGATTGCACCGGATAGTAGACTTGATTACTACGAACCTGAATTCATTGATGGAGCGCTAAGAATTCCGAAGTCGGTGATTGAAGATGGCTCTAAGCGATGGGCGAACAGCCTCGTTGGGCAATTTCTCGGGAACCCTGTTTCAATTTCTGTTATCAGATTCTGGGCCAATTGGTTATGGGGAAGAGACGGAGAAGTGCGTACGTCGAGGCTTGGAGACAAGCTTGTTCTATTCCAGTTTTCGTCGGCTGAAATATGTCAGTGGGCATTTGAGGGCGGTCGTGGCACCATCGCGATAACATGCTATTTCTGAGGAAGTGGGAGCCAGGAATTCAACCTCTCGCGATTGACAACTCAAAAATTCCGGTATGGGTAAGAATCACTAATCTTCCGATAGAGTTTGCGAACAAGGAAGGTCTGGGTAGAATTGCTAGTTCGATTGGGCGTCCTTTGTGTATGGATATTCCTACAAGAAGGGGAACGAAACTTGGGATTGCGAAGGTCTGTGTTGAAATCTCTGCACGGGCAAAGCGGCTCACTAAGCTCGATGTGAAGCCTGATGGGATGAAGGCTCTGTGGGTGAATTTGGAATATTGTAATTTGCCTGTCTTGTGTGATAAGTGTGGCGAATTTGGTCATAACTGTGTTGTTCCTGAGGGGGCTCTAGTGAAGGAATGGAGGGTTAACGATGCTATGTCACCATCCGGTCAAACAAGGTTACTAAAAGATCAACATGCTATGTCACCATCCCGTCATCATAAAAATCATTAAAATATTCGTAATTTACACATATTTTCTAATTTTAAATTATTACAATTAAATTAAAAAAATTGAGACCCCCATCGGCCGCTCCCCTCCGTCTACTCCCCCAATCTCTTCTTCGACAGAGAGCTCCAACATTTTCTTCTTGGATTGGGATTAGTTTACCAGGGAAAGGGTTCGTGAGAGTAGTTCTATAAATTATATAGTCTATAAGATCAAATTATTTTTTCATAAGTTTTAATATGCATGATGCAAATTGATGAGATGTTGAATATATATATATATATATGGTACTAATAAGTGTACTAAGTTATGAAAAGTATTACATTTGATTAAAGTATTATGTGAATAGCAACTTTTCTTATAAATTCTTTTGTAATGCAAATTGAAGAAATCGTCATTTTAGAGTATTTATAAATCGTCATTTCCCTCAGTAAAAGTTGTTTTGTTGTCTAATTGTCTTAGTCCTTGCAAAGTCTTATATTATATGTTTTCTATAATTGATACTTTAGAAATAACTTTTTCTCTGTAAGATTACCTAAGGTATTTGTAATTTACATAATTGTTATAAAATGGTGTTTAGAAAATATTTCATATGATAATAAAATCAATTCAAAATATAATATTTGATTGCACTACAATAGAAAAGTTAACATACCTTATATACCTTTTGCGTAATATGTAAATTAATGAGATGGTGAATATTGCAGTTAATTATAAGATTTATATAATGTATTTGTAATATAAAATTTTTCCGTAATGTGTAATGAAGAAGTACCCAAATAGATGTGTATATAGAGATAATTGTCTAAGGAAAAAAAAACGTTATGTAAATCTTTCGTAGTATGAAATAAAAAAAAATACAAAGATAGTTTTGTAAAGTGAATAAATCCGTAGAAAACAATTAATTGCATATACAACTACATGTGGGGAAAAGAGTTATGCTGAAATTAGGTGTAGCGTATAAAAAAATACAGGTGAATAATACCCTACAAAAAAAGGGAAGCAAATTTAATCCGCCCTTAACTTTTTCGTAAGGATTAGTAATTTCAGCTTATGTAAATATTTCGTAGTATGAAATAAAAAAAATACAAAGATAGTTTTGTAAAGGGAATAAATCCGAGGGTAAAAACTATTTTTAGCCAATCTTTCACAAATTCTAAAACATTAGTCAAACCTTTGAGAATAACAAAATTATAGACATTTTCATTCAAATATGTGGACTGGCGATTAGCTTATGTGTAATTATGTTAATACTAACGTTAACTTTAATGGAAAGTAACTATAATTTTATAGTTTTATTAAAGATTTGACCAATATTTAGTATTGTCAAATGTTTTACTAAAAAATAGTAGTCGCCCTAAATCTTATGGTGAAACTTTTCCATCTTGTGTGGCTTGGGACAGTTTGTTGTTAAAGTGAATTTGATTGTAAAAAAACTAATAATTGACAGTTAGAAAAACTTATTATGGACCTTACTATATGAGATATGACCCTTACTTAATTAAGGAAAAATTAATTTTTCATCCTTGGTTACTTTACTTGCGCTATTACAATATAAAATATCACAATATAATAATAATTTAGCTTATGTTGCATTTTTCGAATGGGTTTACGATTGATCGTTGTTTCATGACCGGTACCAATGAGTGAATAGTTATGAAAAATAAACTGAAATAAACGACACCAAACTAACGTGGTATCACTGACGTTTTAAAGATTAGGACGAATCCACGACACAAAGCGTTCTTCTTCTCTTATTCAGCATAACCATGCAAGGCTACGTGGGCTCAAAATAGTTAAAGTCCACTAAACATAATGATACATATAAAATACATGGGTTGCTTAATAATGATCGTCTAACAGCCTCCCCAAATTTCTGCTGGGCACCCACCATCAATTTGAAAGAGAGATACTAGTGACGACTAGTAGAGAAGGATTTCGTCAAAAGATCTGCCATCTGGTCTTCAAACTTGACATATTGCAAGTGCATTGTCCCATCTCATATATAATGCGTATGAATCTCAATCTGCTTACTACAATCATGAAACACTGGATTAGGGGGCATCTGGATGGCGCTAGTGGTGTCGAAAAACCAATCCATCGGTGGGAAACAAGTGACTCTGAAATCTTTCAACAAACGTGAAAGTCATACCAACTCGGAGGCCACATCGCACATGGCCCGATATTCAGCTTCTTTAGATGACTTGGATACTTTATCCTGCTTCTTGCAACGTCATGAGATAAATGCACCCCCAAACTGGATCTGTAGAAGAACGCCTAGTGTCCTGGCATCCGGCAAAGTCTACATAAGAAAAGGCACAAATGGAGCTAGGACCACTAGCCTAGAAGAATATCCCGACATCTTGAGTACCACAAAGATCTTGCAGGATCAGATGAACTGCAGCAAGATTACGTTCCATAGGGGTTCGAACAGGAGTGCACTCATCAAACTGGTGATCAGCCAAAAGTCCAGAGATATATTTACGCTGACTAAGAAAATGTCAGGATCTGTGCGAGTGATCTCAAGCCCAATGAAGTAAGAAAGATGTCCAAGATCCTACAGAGATAACGCAGCATGAAGACCCTCTTTTAGAGACTGAATGGCGGCCATGTCACTCCCATTAATGATCATATCATCCACATATATCAAAAGACCAACGATACTAGTAGAAGTGAGTTTGGTAAACAGTGAAGGGATCATTTAAACTCTTCTAATAACCAAGACGCATTATAATTGCCTAAAATGTCTCAAACCAAACCCGAGGGGCTTGTTTCAAACCATAGAGAGAACAGTGAAGAAGACAAACCTGATAGGGCCGCCCAACCGTGTACCCAGGAGGACGCTTCATATACACCACTTCCTTCAGCTCCCCATGCAAGAATGCGTCTTTTACATGAAGCTGAAACAAGGGTCATTCACGCATGGCAGCTACTGCCGAGAGTATTCGAACGGTCGAAATATTGGCTATAGGAGCCAAAGTCTCATCATAATCCCCCCCTTTGCTCCTGTGTGAATCCCTGAGCAACTACACTAGCTTTGAATTGCTCTACATACCTGTTAGCTTCATCTTAATATCATAAACACAACGATTTCCCACCTCAAGGGCAGACAGTGGTGGACGATCAACAACTGTTCAAGTATGTTTACTATGCAATGTATCAAATTCTTCCTTCATAGCCCGAACCCCCAAAGGATTGCTCTGGGTCTATTTAAACCGAGTAGGAGTTGCGAGTACAGCGACAGAGCATGAGCTCCAACAGAGGAGAGACAGACCCTGGGGAGCTGCTTTCGGACCCAGGAGTCTCCGCTTGGGAGAGGTTGGGGCGGAGAGGGAGGAGGTGTTTCTTGATCGATGGGAGGAGAAGATGGATCAACGTCATCCTCATCAAAGAAAGGCAAAGTAGTTCGAAATGGACCAAAGACATCCGGCTGAGGGCCGTAGCAACTACTTCAGGCAAGAAATGAGAGAGAACTTGCGAGGCCAAAAATAAAGCTCGAGTGAGCTCTCCAACATGACGGTTCTTGCGCTCTACCGACGCATTTTGTTCAGAGAACTCAAGACATGATTTTTTACAAAGGATGTCGACTGACTTATACATATCAAGCAACAATGGGTGAGAACTAAATTCACCACTTGGATCAAAATGAACAATTTTTACGGGCGCCCAAATTTAGTCGAAATCATGGTTAAAAATTCTTTTGCAATCGATAATAAATTTGATTTTAAGCGGACGAAATAAGTCCATCTATACCAAGTCGCATGCTCAATAAACAGGCCAAAATAGCGAAAACCATGTCGGGAAACTGTAGGAGAGGGTCGCAAGAGATTCATATGAACAATACCCAATGGTTCAGAAATAACAATAGTACTCGACGGAAAAGCATTGCTCGTTGTTTTGGCATCAACATAACTAGGCGGACGATGCTGGGGCAAACGAATACCAGTATGACTACCAAGAATTTTTTTTTTTTAATATTTAAAAGATGATCAAGGTTGGGATGAATCAAAGGAGAATTAATGCCAAATATCATATACACTCGCAGATGGGATTGGGAAGGGACAGTTGAAGCACCGAGTTGACGAGAAGCTCGACACAGACCATTATAAGTGGTTGAGCAGGTGGTTGAGAAACGGGAAGCTTCTGACTATGAGGTGGAGATTTGGAGAAGGCACATACTCCACTGCCGGATTTAACTCTGATGAACAGAACATGGTTCTTACCTTATTTAACAGAAGAGACTTCAAATGAACCATGAATATATTGCTTTGGAAACACCTTTTTCCCAGATGATCTGGAAAATACAAACATCAACATTCATTACTTGAAGATAGCAGCTTTGAGAAGCTAAACATTAAACAATGGAATTTGAAGTGAGATTTACTAAGGTTTTTCTTATAATGGTCTGTGGAAAGAGCAAAAAACCATAATTCGTCATTGCTCATCTTCTCTCACCGCCATTTTTTCAAATTCTTAAACCACCCAACAAATGAATAATCAATCAGATAGAAATCATTTATCTACACCAATCAACAAAAGGTGGAGAAGCGGCTTACTTGTCAGGGAACCAGGTCATGGCTGCTTTGTTAGAAGCCTTGCCAACGACGCAGATGTTGGCACTTGGAAGAGCTAGAAGAACCCGTGGGCTAGAAGAGCCAAGACAGCAAATCGAATCTTCTTCCGTCCGTTTGCCTAGGTACAACAACTAGATCGTCTCAGCAAGGAATGTGAAGGAAGAAGAGAGAGTTGCAGAGAAGAGAAGAGATAGGAAGAGAGGAGAAAGGAAGAGGGAAAGTAGTTAGTTCTTATTTCTGTACCAACGACTCTCTTAGCGTTCACTTAAGTACCCTCTCCTAGCCTGACAGGTGTCAACCAGTACTACTTACAAATTCATCCCTCTTTCCCTACATTATTACAAAACGACCCCCAACATTCAAACTGTTACAAGTCCCACCCCTTCAGCTAAGACTTGTCCTCAAGTCACAAAATATGGGAACTTCAGCTTAAGTTCATCCAAGAATTCCCAGGTAGCATCCTCTTCCTGCTGATGTGACCACTAAATCAAGAGGTGAGTAGCAGCTCTGTTATCACGCTCAACAACCCTCCTTGCAAGCACTGCAGTGGGTTCCAACTTCAGGGTTCCAGCATCATCCACTTCATGCAATGTTGGTTGCACAAGCACCTGAGCTCCTCTGGCCTTCTTCAACTGTGACACATGGAAGACATTATGAATTGCAACACTTTCAGGCAGCTGTAACTTGTATGCAACAACTCCGATCTTCTGTAACATAAGAAATGGTCCATAAAACTTTGGTGCCAACTTCTGATTAGCCCGCTGTTGTACTGAGGTCTGTCTACATGGTCTCAAATTCAAATACACCCAGTCTTCCTCCTGAAACACCCGCTCAGTCCTGTGCTTGTCTGCCATTTGCTTTTGACGATTTTGAGCCTTGGCCAAATTGTGTATGAGAAGTCCAACCAACCTCTGCTGCTCCCTAAGCTTATCCGCCACTGCTGCTACCGACGTGGAGAGTGGATTCTAAATGCCAAAGTGAGAAGGAGAGTAACCATATAAGGCCCGGAAAGGAGTGATCTGCAGACTATGGTGATAGTTGGTATTGTACCACCATTCTGCAAATGGTAACCAGGAAACCCAAGTAACAGAACCAGTTAGGGCCATGCATCAAAGGTAATCCTTCAAACAGCGATTCAATCTCTCAGTTTGTCCATCCGTCTGAGGGTGATAAGCTGTGGAGTAGTGTAACTGAGTACCCTACAATGCAAATAAATTGGTCCAGAAATTGCAGGTAAAGATCACATCTCTATCCGAGACAATGGACTGGGGCATACCATGAAGCTTAAACACCCCTTCCAAGAACACCTAAGCCACTGAAGCAGCTGTTTATGGTATGCTAAGCCCAAAGAAGTGTCCATACGATGAACCGATCGACCACCACTAGAATCACTTCCTTTCCCCCAGATTTTGGCAACCCCTCGATAAAGTCCATATAGATATGCTTCCAAGCTCCCTCTGGTATGGGCAAGGGCTGTAAAAGTCCAGGGGATGGTACATTCTCACTCTTGCACTTTTGGCAAACATCACACTCAGCAATGAACTGTCTAACATCCCGCTTGAGACCAGGCCACCAAAAGTAAGTCTTCAGCCTCTGTACGTGGCTTGCGTTCCTGAATGGCCTCCTATTGGAGACTCATGAAACAATTGCAATATCTGTTCTCTCATACTGCCAGCATTCCCTACATAAATGGCAGACTTATGGTACAACACACCCTGTCTAACCGTGTTTACCTTAGGCCCCACTGTAGGAACTGTTGCCTCCACCATAGCCTCTTTTAACCATTCTTCATCTTTGTAGGTTGCTTCCACTTCCCCCAACCAAGCAGGTAAGACTGCTGTCATAGCCTGACAACTACTACTGAGCAGATCAGGTTGTCTTGAGAGGGCATCTGCCACTTTGTTGTAACGACCCTGACGATATTTAATCTCATAATCAAACCCAAGTAACTTAACCAGACCCTTTTTCTGAATCGGAGTGTGTATTTTCTGACCCAACAAGTGCTTCAGACTCTCATAGTCAGTCAGGATCGTGAATCGCCTCCCTTCTAAGTAATGTCGCCACTTGGTGACTGCCATCTCCTTCTCACTTTTGCATTCAGAATCCACTCTCCACGTCGGTAGCAGGAGTGGCGGATAAGCTTAGGGAGCAGCAGAGGTTGGTTGGACTTCTCAGACACAATTTGGCCAAGGCTCAAAATCGTCGAAAGCAAATGGCAGACAAGCACAGGACTGAGCGGGTGTTTCAGGAGGGAGACTGGGTGTATTTGAAGTTGAGACCATATAGACAGACCTCAGTACAGCAGCGGGCTAATCAGAAGTTGGCACCAAAGTTTTATGGACCATTTCTTGTGTTACAGAAGATTGGAGTTGTTGCATACAAATTACAGCTGCCTGAAGCAATTCATAATGTCTTCCATGTGTCACAGTTGAAGAACGCCAGAGGAGCTCAGGTGCTTGTGCAACAAACATTGCATGAATTGGATGATGCTGGAACCCTGAAGTTGGAACCCACTACAATGCTTGCAAGGAGGGTTGTTGAGAAGAGAAGAGATAGGAAGAGAGAAGAAAGAAGGAGGGAAAGTAGTTAGTTCTTATTTCTGTACCAACGACTCTCTTAACGTTCACTTAAGTACCCCTCCTGGCCTGACAGCTGTCAACCACTACTTATAAAATCATCCCTCTTTCCCTACATTATTATAAAACGACCCCCAACATCCAAACTGTTACACTAGGCATTAGCAGAACACATAGCAGACCAGGGAAATTGGAGATTCGAAGAGACTTCTTGCCGCTATCAGCCTGTCACCATCGTAGTCTTCTTGCCTCTGTTTATTCTTCTTTAGCGCACTCACTTTTTTGGGTGCACTCAGTGCACCCAACTCTAAAAGTATCTATAATACATCAAATTTTGAACTTTAATTAGTACTCTCAATCTAATATGATGATATGACATAGAATCATACCAAATCATTATTACCCTAACCCCTTAACCTTCAATTTTGAATCCCAACCCAAAATCCCAAATTATAAACCTAAACCCCAACCCTAAATCCCTAAATCTTAAATCCTTCAAATTCAATTAAATTTTGAATGATTTTTTTTCAAATTCATGTGCTTCTTGTTCATAATATCATAAGCAACAATTGATATCGTTTTGATATGAATCGCATGCTCAGAATGACAATTATGAAAGTGGGTGCACCGAATACGACAACATATATATATATATATATATATATATATATATATATATATATATATATATATATATATATATATATATATATGCCTTCAAAGCATGTAAGAATTATTTTAACTAGTCATGTCCTCCATATAAAAATTAAAGATTCACATTTGAAAGGCTAAAATTTTGAAAAACCAAAAAGTTAAAAACACCAATTTGTTTTCTTCTTTCTTTTCACAAAAACAAAATCCTAAAATTTCGCTCCTTTCTCCTTCCATAAATTAGAAACACTCTATTTTCCCTCTTCTTTCTCTTTCATAAAATTGAAAGAGCCAAATTTCCCTACTCTTTCTCTTACATAAAATTGAAGAACTAAATTTCCTTCTTTCTTCTTTTCTTACACAAGTTGAAAACTCAAAATTTTCCTCCTTATTTCTCTTTCATAATCAAAAGAACCAAACTTTGCCACTTTTTTCTCTTCTCACAAATAAAAACCACCAAAATCCTCCCTTGTTTCTTTTGTCAAAAATTCAAATAACCAAATTTCCCTCTTCTTTCTCTTCCCAAAAAGTTTAATACACCAAAATTTTCCTCTTCTTTTAAAAGCATCAAATTACCAAATACATTACTTTACTTAATTTATATGTAATTGATAATTTATTGATTAGTTAAATTAAACAAGTCCATGATCTCAATTATTAATATTGGCACTGTGTTGATTTTATATTTTATATTTTTTTTTATTTTGTTAATGAATTTAGTGTTCAAGTGACGTTTATGTTTCAATTTTTTGAATTTCTTAAAATACATAATACCATGTGAGTTTCATATATTTGTAAATCACCTATACCAAATGAAAAATAAATTTTACCTAAGTTTAGAATGAAAACCTTTATTTTGAAAAACTATGTATTGTATAATATAATAATTATTCAAGTGGATTAGATGAAGTTCGGGTTGAGTCGGTCGGGTTACGGGTTAGTCAGGTTCGGATTATTCTTGGTTCGGGTTAATCGGGTTGTGGGTCAATCGGATTCGGGTTAATCGGGTTGCGGGTCAGTGGGGTTGCGGGTTAGTTGGGTTGCGGGCCAATCGGGTTACAGGTCGGGCGGGTTGTTCACTTTTAGTCAATTCGAATTGCGAGTCGAGTTAATCAAGCGATTTAATCGGGTCGGATTCTGTTTTGACACCTATATAAAGAATTCACATAAAAAGTTAATTTAAAACCAACCACCACTCCACCAGTATAAGGCACAAAGGAACATCAATTGAAAGACGTATATGAAATGAAAGCTATACCACTTGTTCAATGATAAATGGGCTGTCATCTCTAAAACAAAACCTGCGGATCATTTTAATCAATCTCCTATGCAACAGGAATCCACTTAACTTTATAGTCAATCACCGTACGTTGGGTCGAAGTAAGACATGTTATTTTGGTGTAATGTTATATGTTACTCATATATTATATGAGATTTGATATAATTGATAAATATGTGAACAATATAATAACTTTTTTTAAATATCCGGGTTAAATCAAACTAACGTCATCAGACAATTAACCCTCAATCCACTGTCTCGACCAGACCAACGGGTAAACCGGATTGACAACCCTCTAGTTCTTCTATCTTTTTTCTGATTGTTGTTTCTCCCAATTTGGTTGACGATGAAAGACCAAATACAAAAAAATAGGGACATGCATCAGCCGGAATCTAGCCTAAGTGGGTAGGGTAAAACTCGAACCTGAATGATTTTTAGTGGGTACGGGAAAAATCTGAATCTGAATATTGCTGGTAATGGGTGGGCATTGTTTTCTCACTATCCAACTCGAATCCGCCGGATTATATACATTCATATGTATTTTATCTAAAAATGATCATTATCTTTCTCAACATTTTTTTTTTTGTCAAAGTCAGCGGTAACAGTTTAGTCATACATAGCAGAAAGAAGAGCGCGGGAGTCGACTAATCGTCGAGCTCCCGATGAAAGGGCTTTTTGT